TTGATATGTTATCTATTAGATGAAACAAATTATTTTTTAAATAACTCTTTTGAAATTTCAAAATAACTAATTTTAAACTGATTTTTTTTTTTTTTGTAAATCATTACTTGAAATTTTACATAATATATCAATACCTATTTAAAATAATGTATTTTCTCGTATCGAGTGTTGCAAAATAATTTTTTTGTATAGGTTACTACACGAAAGTTTCTTTTATGAAATCATATAACAGTAAAATCTATTGTATTGGTATGAGTCATATAATAAGCTTAAATTTAAAAGGAAAATTCTTCACGGTATATGCCACTGTTTAATTAAAAATACATATATTTATTTTATCAGTTTATAGTAAGTATTTTCTCATTTTTCAATATAATATCACACAATAAAGTAAAATAAATAAGAAATTACATTATTTATTTAATTATTAAGAATAGAAGCTTTAATCGAACTCGTTTATTCTGAAGAAAATTAATATAATTACGAATAACAATTGCAAATAACAAATCAAATAGCGAGCAGACAGTTAAAAATTTTAAAATAAACATTTTTCAATTTTTGATATGATTAATTAATTCACATTTATATTCAATCAACAATCAACTAAATTAGAAATTATTATTTAAATTAAAGAATAATTTATGCTTATATCTTAGATCACTTTATTTTCACAATGTAATAAAATTTTTACCGGGTAAACAAATCAGAAAAATAAAGAAGTTTTAGGACTTTTAATCAAATTTTGAAAGGAACTACGACTTTTGATATTATAAAATCGATCTAAAGTTATAAACGCTATTGATAAAATGTTCAATTTTATCTTGCAGAGAATCGATTTTTCTTTTACTTTTTTCTTCTACAATCAAAATAAAATTCGAACTCCTGTCTATAAAAGCTAAATTTATTATAAACCTAATAAATTTTATATCTTCTTTAAATAAAACAACTTTTTTTAAAAAAAATAAAAAGAGTTGTTTTTAAAAATTTATTATTATAATCTGAATTAAACAATGATTTTTAATTATTTGTTATTATAATTAAAAAAAAATTAAAAAGCTTTTTTTCCTAGTTAATTAAA